GGTTTATGAGACCCATTTGGGGATTAGATAGATTATTATGTTGTTACCCAATCGTTTATACCCCAGTAATAGGATGCTTAGAGGTCCAGAAAGTCCCATGGGTGCATGTCTCGGGACCATGCGTATTTCAGGAGGCAGATGATCGACTGCATGGCATGGACTCACCGAGTCCAATGATCAGACTCGGCGAGTAGCTTGAAGATTTACTGGGACTCGCCGAGTTGTTCTTCAGACTTGGCGAGTAGTTGAGGATTTATTGGAACTCGTCGAGTTGTCTTCGGACTCGGCGAGTGGAGTCGGGGTGGCCCCGCGATTCTTCCACGAGGACCTCGTCGAGTCAAGAGGGATACTCGACGAGTAGAAAGGGGAACAACAGGGAAAGTTGGGGAGGACGTCTAGACTCGTCGAGTCGCCTTTGTACTCGACGAGTCCGGTCAAGTTGACCGTTGACCAGAGTTGACCTGCATGTAATTTCGTAGGGTCAGTTGTCTTGTTTGATAAGATTATTAATAAGGGTATATGGTATTATAGGGAGACTGCAGATCGGCGGATCGAGTGCGAGTGGTTTCAAGAGTTTATAGTTTACATACTACGAGGTGAGTCTTCTCACTATACTGTACCCGGAAGGGTGTCTATGTGTGACCGGAAGGTCGGATATGTTGTGTGTTATATATATATGCTATAATTGGAAAGGTAGTTGCTATGTATGCTATATATGTTCTATGGGCCGGAAGGCAAAGTATTATGTGACAGAAAGGTCAGGTATGATATATGATATATGTGCTATATGTGTTTAAGTAATTGTACTATGTGTTGCATATATTTATGGGCCGGAAGGCAATCTGTTACGGGCCGGAAGGCAATATATATTACAGGCCGGAAGGCAAAATGTTACGGGCCGGAAGGCAACATGTTATGGGCCGGAAGGCAAAATATTATGGGCCGGAAGGCAATTATCTCATGGGCCGGAAGGCGTTGTACTTTGGACCGGAAGGTCAGGGCCTGGAAAGGCGTATGTGTGTAAGTGTATACTGGGGAACTCACTAAGCATTTATGCTTACAAGTTGTTATGTATATGTTGCAGGTACTAGCGAGGACCGTGGGAAGGCGCCGGCATGATGCATACACACTGCTGCTATTTGAGATCTTGGGGATTTTACATATGTATTTGTTTTGAAACATAAAATAAATATTACTGGTTGAATGAAATCACTTTATTTTAAATGAAAATTTTATTTGAAAATTTGCGTTGTTACAATAGCACTTCTGAAATCCAACAACCCTATGCGGCCCTTTAAACCAGATTCCCTGTACCGCGAGTAGTTAAAAAGATATTATAACGACACTTATACAAGTCATAATAATAGCTCAAATATTTATTATAAATTTATAATAACAATACTAATTTTAAATATAAATTATATTTAAAATAGGTTAAGCATAACTTACTTACAAGGGGATTTTAGCTAGGAGTCGGGCTCTGCAGGGGCAGAACTTCGTCGCTGAATCTTTCTAAGAAAGATTTGTGTAGCGCTTCAACGCTCACCTTACTATACTAAAACTACAGAAAGAGAACTCGAATCACGAGGAACCGAAATGCTTGGGGGATAAGGAGAGAAAGACTCTTGAATGAAGAGAATGGTGCAAGAAATATGAGAGCTCAAGCCTCTTATTTATAGTAATTGAATTTACAAAAATTACCCTCCATAATTACTTAATGACCTTATACTTATATAAACAACTAAACACCATTTCATAATACTATTTTAAATAGATTTAACGATATTTGCTCTAAACTAATGTCGAAAGAACTCAAAACTAGTCTTATAATGACCACATTGTCGATACCTTTCTAATGATATATACATATGTATATATATGTGTACGTATATATGATTTATACTTTATTTTAATACGTAATATGCTATTATCATTTGTAACTCGTTCATACGAACTCCGTTTTTGACGTTATTTATATCCACGTGTAAGTGGAGACGTACTCTACAACTTTCGTTTAGACTCCATCAGCTAATTTTGACTTTATTTTTAAAGTTATATTTTTAACAGGCCGGGACAGGATTGGTCCGTTAAAATCTCATAACTTCTTTATCCGATGTCCATTTTCGTCTGTCTTTTTATCGTTACGCTACTATAACGAGATCTTCGATTCTCGTTTAGGTTGTGTCGGCTAAAAACCGCTCGATCTAATACTCGAACTTCGGGTTGTACACCGCTAAGCCAAAACTTCGAAAAATCATAACTTCCTCATAAGAAGTCAGTTTTGGGCGTTCTTTTTATGGACACTCTTAGGTTAACATATTCTAAGACTTTCATTTAGATTACTAAGGCTAAAAGAATTTCTCTCATAAATTCACTATTTACGTCTTCCGGTGTCGTGCCGGTTTTGCTGTAAAACTTCGACGGGCCATAACTTCTTCGTTATAACTCGGATTTCAACGCTCTTTATATGTACGGAAACCTTGTAACATATACTAAAACTTGGTTGAGATTATTTATTCTTAATAATCTTTTGTCGAAAAGTCGTTTTCAACCCCTATTGCCTCTAACTTGACTAGCTCGGATCTACGAACGTTACAACATGCGACTCGCCGAGTCCATTCGGTCCTTTTTCCCATAAAGACATATTTTGAGCCATGCAACAGCTCCAACTCATAGATCCAAGCTTCTAGGGCATGCTTATCACGTAAAGTTACAAACTTTACGTGCATGCATGGCTATAAAGGCCCTAAATGTCTATTTTAAGTTCTTAATGGAACTTCATGCTCAATAGGGACCTTAATCACAACCAAGAATGTGACTTTATGCTTCTAGAATCCAAGGAGGGTCTAGATCTGAAGTTACAACTTCAGATCTAGCCCATAGCTCATCATACCAACTTGAAAATCCATACAAAGCTCTAGAACTCAACAAAAGGGAAAAATGGAAGTAAGGATGGCACTTTGATACCTCTAAAGGATGTCAGCTGAGGTAATTACTGCTTCCCACTCCTTCCTTGCTTCAATTTCCTTTGAAATCTTAGCTTCCTTCCTCCAAGATTTTATTCTCCCAGCTTCAAACACCACACCAAAGCACACACACGAATTAGGGTTTTAAGGGGGCTCTCAAAGACTGTAAAGAGGCTAAAGGAGGCTAACGCTCCTTTAAATAGAGGTGAAAACCCCGGGATTTAGGGTTTCCACTGCCAGCTCCTACTCGCCGAGTCCCAGAATGGACTCGTCGAGTAGGTCACTTAACACGCGATCCTTCTCGCTGCTACTCGATGAGTAGGTCAACCAACTCGTCGAGTAGGGCCCTACCCAATAACTCATATTAAACAATACCTGAGAATCGAGGCGTTACATATATATATATATATATATATATATATATATATATATATATATCTTCCTATTTATCTTTATATCCATGTAAAATGGTGACAAGTATTTTAAAATAATATCAATTTTATCAAAATATGAAACTTATCACCTATTCACATGGGTATTAAGATAAGTATGAATAAAAAATATGGGGATATTTAATTTCTCAAGTCATTTATAAGGAGTGTTTATTTAGCAACACTCTAATTTTTTTGAAACGATACTTTTATTTGTTAAGTTGTTACTAACCAAAAACAAACAAAAATCTAATGTGGTTTTCAAGTTATTGTTTGTTCGATTATTTATTATTTGAATACGAGTATTTTTGTAAATATTTTATAATTCTTTAAACACTCCTGATTTTTCTGATATATATTTCTTTCATTTAATCAATTAAAGTTTTGGAGTCTTAAGGTTTTCATGCTAGGCGCGACGAGCCTTTACAGGGCATATCATGCTTGGGCACAAAGTGCCTTAAGTTGTGCGTAACACGCCCATGTTGATGGTCCAAATCCCTAGACCATGAGATTTGGGCCCTATTTAAATGCACAACTCCCTAGGGTTTTTCCATTCATCTCAACCTCCATCTCCAGAGAATGTCATTTGTAAAACCTAGCCCCCTCTATCTTGTATCTTGAGTTTTGTGTATTTGATTCTTGGATTGTGAAGCTTAAAGGTGAAGTTTGAGCTTTGTGGTGCATAGATTCTTTCTCCAAAGAAGATCAAACTTTCTCTTGTGCTTTTGAACCTTTTGTAAGTCATAAAGTCTCTACTTTTATGCATTTCTCTTATAGTTCAAGGTTTTGGATGTCTTTGTGGTCATTTGGGTCATGTTTATGTTGGTTGTTCTTGGATTTTGAGGTACTCTGGAACTTTGTTTGATTTGATTATAATATGCCTATAGAAAAAGTCAACAACACACTTATAGTTGACTTTGACCGTTGACTTTTTTAAACCAATTTGACTTTTGGGTCAAACTTGTTGGGTTTGATCTTATATAATGAGGTTGGGCCTCTGTTGGATCGTAGGTGGTTTGTGTTAGCTGTTTATTCCTCTAAGATTGTGAGATTGCAATTGTTAGTATCGGATGAGTTTTTCACTATACTATGCAGGACATTAGATGTCAATATATGATAGATGTTTTTGTGACCTTTTGTATGAAAGACAATGATGATGCTATAACACTTGTATGAAAGACTATTGTGGGGCTATAACACTTGTAAGAAAGACTATGGTGGGGGCCATAACACTTATATGAAAGACTACGATAGGGGAATAACATTTTTATGAAAGACTATAGTGAGAGCATATCAAGAAAGAATGCAGTGAGACTATAACCATAGTTGCTAAAATCGCGATCCTGATCTTAGGATTGTACGATCCTACAATCCTAACTAGGTAAATCGATCCGATCTTACTAGGATCGTTTTTCGGTAAGATCGTAAGATTGAATTGCAAGATTGTAGGATAATGACTATTTTTTAAAACAAAATTCTAATATTTTTTCATGGACTAACCAAGTAGAATAACAATTTTGAAATTGTTTATCACTAAATGATGTATTAGATATGTATTTTTTTTATCTTTTAAACAATTTATTGTTAAGTGAATGGTTAACAGATGGGTAAAAATGTATCTTTTATGTATTAAAATGCTTTTGGTAGGGCCTTACAGTTCGATTATTATGATCATGATCTTGCAAAAAAAATGATCTTATATAAGATCCCGATCTCGATAACCTTGACTTTAACAATGGAAGTGAGTGTAAGACTATGATGAGATCATATCGTTCACATGTGTACGTGGTATTTTGAGGAACTCATTAAGCTTTATGTTTACTTGTTTAAGTTTAAATGAGTTCATGTTGCTTCGACAACAAATGGAAGGACATGTTTAATTGCATCGCATTCATGGACATATTTTGGAGATTTACGCTTATTTGATTTTATTATCTTATTATTACTTTGGTTTTGATTATGATTTGTCACAGTTGTTTATTGCTTGTTTGAGAATGAGATTTACATGCCTATAATGACAATTTTGGTTTGAAATTTGTGACGTTACAAAAATATCATTGTCTCATATTTTGTTATTGTTTTTTTTATAAGATATATCTTTATTGTTTTTAATATTTGTATATCAATATACTTTGTTATTTGTTTTTAATTTAATTTTAAGACATCAACTACTAGTTTTTAGATTTTGTTTGTAGTTTGTTATTAAACTTAATATTATATTAGCCTTAGATGTTATTATTAACAACCCGACTTGAAAAAAAAAACTATTTTGATCCATTTGTTTTGTTAGGTCAATTAGATTGGACATCCGTAAGGTAAGTTCCAATCATGAATTCACCATTGAAATTAATTGTATATTCCTAATTTATATTTACAAATTTACTAGTCCATCTCAATTATTTCAACCAAAGTTACCAAATATCTAGTTGAAAATCCATTAAATTTCAATTAATTTGAAAATTTTTAGATCCTAAATACTAATTTATATGGAGTTTGGATTTGGAATAACGACTTGAAAGGGTAACGAACTTTCGACTTTTGTCACATTTAGTCACTAAACTTTTTTTCGTTGTCTATTTGCCATTGAACTATTGAAACTGTTCACATTTTACCCTTATGACCGGCTGTTACCGGTCATAAGGGTAAAATGTGAACAATTTCAATAGTTTAGTGGCAAATAGATAACGAAAAAAAGTTTAGTGACTAAATGTGAACAAAATCAAAAGTTCATTTCCCTCTAAAAAGTTCAATGACTAAATGTGAACAAACTTCCTATTGTGTTATGTTTTAGCAAAATTATTTATTTTTGTTTAATTATAGCAACATTTGTTGATGAAGAAATCTATGAAATAAAAAAACAAAATGTAACATCCGGATTTCCAGGTATGTTTAAGTATTTTTCTTTTGAGTTAAGAAGAGAGAGAATCGACGAGTTGACGCCTCAACTCATCGAGTAAGGTCGCGACTGATGACTCGGATTAATGAATGGACTCGACAAGTCGGTGAGGCGACTCGACAAGTCGGTGAGGCGACTCGACGAGTCCGCGCTGTTGGCAGAAACCCTAAATCTTTGGGCTCGAGCCAGATTTAAAGGCACTTATGGCCTTCAATTGCGACTACCTTTCCCATAAGTGAGAACCCTAGCGAGCTTGAGTGTGTAGAGTGAGAGGAAGAGCTATCTTGAGCTTTTTGGTGTGATAGATATAGACCCTTCTAGGTCCAGAGAGCCGAGAATATGAAGCTTTAGTAGAGTAAACCTTGGGGTTCGAAGTTAGGAAGCATAACCTTAACCAGCAATGTGATGAAATAAAATGATGAGAGATAGGTGATGATAATTAGGTAAATAGATGATGATGAATATGTGATGTAGGATGAAAAAAGATACCATAACCTTAACCAACAATGTGGCGATGTAGTAATCTACCAGAGTATAGATGGCAACCACGAACTATTCTAGACAACCCAGTAGAAACACCAGCAGGCCCATAACCTGTAGGTGATGAATTATGATTTCAAGCGATGTTGTAACTACGTATTCATGCGATGATACTCTAACCCCTTACTATGAATTACGAGTTCAGACGATGTTGTAACTACATATTCATGGGATGTCACAAATTTCGCATGCCAAACCAATGGTCATAATTCACATCAGTGAGAATGGTTCATTTTTTTGTAAAACCAAAATCAGATTGGAAATTTTGATTTTTTATTTTGGAAAATGTCAAACCATTGGTTTTTTATTTCGGTTTTGTTTTTTTTATTTTTTTTAAATATATTTTCAAGGTTTTTTTTTTATTTTTTATTTTTTTATTTCATAGATTTCTTCATCGACAAATGTTGCTACAATTTAACAAAAATAAATAATTTGGTAAAACATAATACAAGAGGAAGTTTGTTCACATTTAGTCATTGAACTTTTTAGAAGGAAACGAACTTTCGATTTTGTTCATATTTAGTCACTAAACTTTTTTTCGTTATCTATTTGCCATTGAACTATTGAAATTGCTCACATTTTACCCTTATGACCGGCAACAGCCGGTCATAAGGGTAAAATGTGAATAGTTTCAATAGTTCAATGGCAAATAGATAATGAAAAAAAGTTTAGTGACTAAATGTGACAAAAATCGAAAATCCGTTACCCTTTCAAATCATTATCCCTTTGGATTTTGGCCTGCAGATATACAACCCACCGACACTATAGGCCCGGTTTTTTTGGTAGGATCTTGTCTCTCTAAGCCCAGAGGCGGAAATCACGGAACCTAGCGCGCATTTTAGAGCGGGAGTTGCAAAAACCAAGGCAAATGGCATACGCGTAGGATAGTGAAAGAGAGTGAGAGAGAAAGAGAGAGGTTTGGTCATGAAATTTAAGAGATCCTATTTTCCCCTAAAATGGTTATAAGTCTTGCTTGGATTCCAAATTCCACCGCACTCACAACCAACTCATAATAATACCTGCAAAAACGTCCATATTCATTCATCAATTGCATTAAAACCTCCGCAAATTAAATCATCTTCTTCGCATTCAACGACTTCGATTCTTCAGAACCACCTCATTCCGTCTCCTTCAACCCCAAGGTATTTTCTTCAACCATTTCTTTCTTCCTAGGAGCGAATTACTTTTATGTTACTGTGCTTGTTGTTACTTACAATTTTATTCGCATTTCGACATTTAACTGGAGATGAGGTGTTACCGGATTTCTGATCTCGGTATAATTTTTTCTAGTGAGTTGCTGCTAAAACTCTGAAGTCTGAAGTTTTGTTTTTACTTTTTATGTGTATTTTTTGGAATTAACGGAAGGATATAGCAAACTGGAAATGATACGTGTGAGAAAATTGCATGAAAGCTTGATCAAACGGTTTATTAGTGCATAATTGCTTTTATTCCGGTTGGAGGTTTCAGAATCTGGTTATCAAAGGAGGAATAAATTGTCAATCACAAAATCACCTTTGATTCTTCAAAGACTGTAACTATCAGTAAAAAGAAAACTTGCATCAACTCGAATAACTTTAGGTGTGAATCTTACCGATCCTCTTTTTCTGATGCTTAGATACATCGAGTTTCTTATCATATAGCGATTTACTTTGTGATCAGCTAATCAATTTCCATATCTGTTTGTGTAGTTTTGAACTACTACTTTAACCTATACTTCTTAATCTCTATTGGCTTCAAATCAAGAAAATATAGTAAATTTTACAAGGTTTTATTGGATTTAGGGATCTATGATGTCTGTGATGAGCAATCCAACAAACATTTTCTGGCATGAAAGCACAGTAGGGAAAACCGAAAGACAAAACCTAATCAACCAACAGGGATGTGTTGTATGGATCACAGGTCTCAGTGGATCAGGTATATGCTCAAACACCCAACTTTCCACTTCCATTTAATCATATTTTCATCATTATTTTTCAATATTTTGTAGGTAAAAGTACACTTGCATGCTCATTAAACAGAGAACTACACTCCAGAGGAAAACTTTCCTATGTTCTTGATGGTGATAATGTTAGACATGGATTAAACAAAAACCTTGGATTCTCACCCGAAGATAGAACTGAAAACATTCGTCGTGTTGGTATGCATTTACTAAACTTAATCTACAATAAACTGTTAGTTTCATACAAAAAGATTTAGTTAATTCTTTATTAAAGTTGTTGATTTTTTAATCATATTTAGGAGAAGTAGCTAAGCTATTTGCAGATGCTGGATTAATCTGTATAGCCAGTCTGATATCTCCTTACAGAAAAGATCGCGATGCATGTCGTGCAATGTTGACAGATGCAAATTTTATAGAGGCAATTCTTCTTTTCTGTGTGTTTTATATAAAACGAGTGTGTATTTTTAGGAAAAAAAAAAAAAAGAAGCTAAATTTTAAATTTGTCAATATGTATAAATTCAGGTGTTCATGAACATGTCTCTTGAAGTGTGTGAAAGAAGAGATCCTAAAGGCCTTTACAAGCTTGCAAGAGCTGGGAAGATTAAAGGTGTCATTTTTATTTGAAATTATTAATTCTTGTAAAGTATATATTTCTATTTTTTTGTATTTTGGGTTCTCTCTCATTCATGAAATCTTGACAAATTGCAGGCTTTACTGGGATTGATGATCCTTATGAACCACCTTTGAATTGTGAGGTACATTTTGCAAGGTCGTTTTCGTCATTTTTGTGTACATTGTGTAAAATTGGATGTTTTTTTTTGTAGATTATGATTGAAGAAAAAGATGGAGTTTGTCCTACACCATGTGATATGGCTGGACAAGTAGTTTCTTACTTGGATGAAAACGGGTTTCTTCATGCTTGAAAATGGGTGATCAACTTTGACTTGTTTGACCTGTTGATTTTCGGATGAATATTTTGAAGTTAAATATGTGAACCTTTAATCTTGTAGAAATGAAAACTTTAGGTTGACTAAAAATTGTCTAATTGCATATTTGATATGTTATAGTGTGTGATGTCATTAGTATTTGAATTATTTATACCAATTGTATAAAGTATAAACCATGTCAAATAAAAGGTATTGAAAGTCAATATTGTAATAATCTATACATGTATCTATGTCCATATTTGGGACACCTAGAAGATAGGGTAAAACTCGTTCCGAGTCAATTAAGTTCAAAGTCCAAAACACTTCTATTAAAATCTCGCATATGGCCTTTTGGCAAACCGGATAAATCCATAAATAGTCAACTTAAATAAATGATTTATTAAGGTTTTTATATAGATTGAGACATTCTAATCTATTTAAAAGGCAATTTAGTAAATTAATATATGAATCAAGTTATATTTAAAAAATAAATAATTGTTACCTGTGTTATTTTGGCTATTTGGTTCTTAATTTATAAACAATCAATCCCAAAATTCAAAATAATAATTTGATTTGTTAAAGAAAAATCTTAATATCCGAATTAAATAGTTAGATTGGACGATTGAGAAATATGCAAAGTTACGTGTTAATGGTAGGCCTGACAATTAGGTTGAGTTCAGGTTGGCGGGTCATGAGTTGGCGGGTTGGTGGGTTAGAATATATTGATCCAACCCATATAATATATGGGTTGGTGGGTTGGTGGGTCATGGGTTGATTGGTTGAAAACATCAACCCAATCCAACCCATATAACTTGTATAAGTATATGGGTTAGTGGGTCAGTGGGTCGAACCCAACTCGTATAGCCCATTTAATAAGCAATACATTTTAAAATGAAATTAAAAATTACAAATAAACTGAAGTTATAAAGCCTTAAATATTCAACATAAAGTCATAAATAAGAGTTACAACAACAAGTGGTGTGCGACAGCCGGAGGACGAGAAAACGAGTGGTGTGCATGCGATACTGTGACAGTCAGTGACTCGATGCCTCAATCGACGGAGACAGGAAACATAGAATCATGAGTTTGGAGATTGAAGACTGAATTTCTTTTTGATTAGGGGATTTTTAGGGGCTAAGTACATTAATTCGATACGAAAATGTTTTGCAGTTTTGGAATTCGAAAAAACAATTAAACGATAATCAAATATTCAAAACTGATAAATAATTAAATATATTTTTTAAACATTATATATATATATATATATATATATATATATATATATATATATATATATATATATATATATATATATATATATAAGCGGGTTGGCGAGTTGACTCGTGAACCCAAACAAATAACCAAACTCAACCCATGAAATAAACGGGTTGGCGGGTTGGTGAGCCAAAAATCTCAACCCAAACCTGTTTATTTTCGTGTTGGGTCAGTGTCGGGTTACTGGTTGGATCGAAGATTGCCAGCCCTAGTTAATGGATCAATGATATCAACCTATCCACATAATGTTAATGTTAATGTGTTTGTGTTTGTATTTAACATTTACATGCTATGATTTGTAATTGTATGTATACAAACATTGTATGCTCTATAGCTATACGGCATAAGTTATATTTTACGAAAATAAACCTTGTTTTCTAGAATTATGTTGAAATTTTTTTTTGAAGGTCTAGTGAAATAAATTAAAACATAATTAATCTTCTTCAGTAGTCATCAGATATTCCAATTCGATCCAACTTATTCTATTCACAAGTATCCATCGTTTTTATATAATAAAAACCGAACGATCTTTAGTACGATAATAACAATGGGAATTTATGACTTGTTCTAATGACGTTGAAAACAAAAATAAAATACGAACAAAATAAAGAAAAGCCAGCCAGCCAGCTTCAATAAATAAATAAAGAGAAAAAAACAAAATAAAACACTTAGGAATCTTTATAAAACGAATGATAAATCAAATTTAATTTATTCCATTTGTCGTATAAATTCAACCTCCGAAGAACACTTTACATCAACTAATAACAAAAATGTTCGGAACATTATCGGAAGAAGCAGAAGTAAAGGTTCCGGCAATCAAAGCCTGGGCGCTCTACGGCACCCTCGAGCTCGCAAAGGCCGCCGCCGGAAAAATGCTAGAGGCGGTTGATGTGGAAGAAGGCGACGGTGGCGCCGGTACCATTCTCAAGCTTACTTTACTTCCCGGTAAGTGATCATCGTCTAAAAAGACGATCATTCTTAACAAATAACAAACAACAGCTAATTGGAGTAAACGAAATCATGATTCATTAATAATACGATCTGAACTGCAGGGTTAGGGTTTAAGTATTACAAAGAGAAGTTTACGAAAGTGGATAACGAAAATAAGGTGAAGGAGACTGAAATAGTGGAGGGAGGATTTCTTGATATCGGATTTATTCTTTATAGGATTAGGATCGAGATCAAGGAGAATCCAAAAGACGACACTGGTTCATCGTGTGTGGTGAAGTTAACGCTTGAATATGAGGTTAAAGAAGAGGCTGCTGCTAATGCTTCTCTTGTCACCAATGCGCCTCTCCTTGCCCTTTTGAGCGTTGGAAGTGAGCATCTCTTGAAATCTAATTGAAGCAAAAAACGTTTGTTCTTGTGGTTTTATTTAACGTGATTATTAAGAATATGGGAAAATGTCATGTACGTCCTATGATTTGATTTCTCTTTTAGTCCCTAAACTATTTTGATGGTTTTATGAGGGAATAAACTGTGAATGTCTTTTTAGTCCCTATTTTGTAACATGTTATTATCGGGGTGGATTTTAATTAATGAAAAAAGTTAAATCAACTCTTCTTCCATCTTACAATAATTTTTCACTCAAAAACTCATCCATCAATGGTTGTCAGTGTTTTCTTTACTTCTGAAGTTCCTCTAAGAGCATCAACAATGAGGAGTTTAATGAAGAGTTGAATGAGATGTCATGTCTATTTATCATTCAATGGATATAACTCCATTATTGTGAAATGTCACATTGACATTCAATGGATTTGGAGTTCAATGACCATTGAACTCTTCAATGGGAAAAAGGAAAGTCTATAAATCTTTAAATAAATATTTTTTTAATATGCTCAATTGAACCTGTAGAGTTTAATGCATTGTGAGATAATAATAAATAGAGTTGTATAGAATAGTGAATAATGATGTGACACTCCATTGAACTCTATAGAGTTCAATGCATTGTGGATGCCCTAAGCCCTTGAATGTCATTCTCCCTTGATATCAATAATCCATCCTTCCAACAAACTTTTTCTTTTCAAGTTTTTGGAATGACCTTAACATGGTCATCGGTTTCCGTAGTCTTCGTCTTCTCCAAATCTGAATCCGTCGTCGACGGGCATAAAATCCCATCAATCTCGTGAATCGATATTAATTCTTCCACTGGTGGTTAATTTTGTCATGGATTCGTCATTTGATGCCTTGGCGCCAATGAGACTTTTATTTGAGAAAAAAAAAATGAGACTATGCCTTCGCCATAACACTGTCAATATGTATCCCTCGTATACTAATTTCCCCATTTTTATTGCCAAATTTGTGAGATTCACCAAAATGTAAGGTTGTCAGCCATCTAGTTATACCTTAACATGAAATCGAATTAAGGGTTTTTGGATGATGCAGAAGCGTATGGTTGAAGTCCTTGACCTGGATCTCGCCATTGATACGGTGGAAAGGGCCTCCGGAGCCGGGGGCAGAAGCCAGAGGCAACGAAGGACTAGGCGTCGTGACAGAGTATATCAGAAGAACAAGGGCTGAACCAACAGGAACATGAACAACTAGTGTTGGTTTTCTCAATCTATTCGCCCTGGGATCCACCTCCGGTGCTCCCTCCGGGGGGTATTGAAATCCTTCAAAGAAGCCTCCTTGAGCCGATATCGAGTTCTCATTTCCAGAAATTTCCTTCAACTTATGGTGGTGTTTATCTTGACACCGACGTGATAGTCTGAAAACTCTCCAAATTAAAGAACTCAAACAGAGCACAGTTGGTGATGTGGCAAGTTTGGTCAGCAATTTGGAAAAATTCAAAGTCAATTTAGGGAAATTGGTCGACAAATGTCAATATGGCAAAGGGTTAACCGAGTGACCCCTTCACTTTGGCCAAAAGGACTTAATAGACCCGACAAAAAGGACTTGGTTCCCTTATAAAGCCATCAAAATAGTTTAGGGACTAAAAGGGTAAACCCTAGAAACTTCATAGGACGTATGTGTCATTTTCCATTAAATAAAAGGTTGTTTTCTTAAGTAAATTGCTATGAGTGAATCGTTCGTATGAGTTTTGAATTGGGGAAGAAAGTTTTGTTAGAAAATGCCACCCAATGCCCGCTAGAAATAACATAATAACTAGTTGTGAGACTCATGCAATGTTTTAAAAACCGGTAGGTCGAACTGGGAACCGGGTGAGGGAGCGTTTCAATTATCACCGGTTTTATATTGGTTTCTGAACCGGATTGAACCGATCGTTTTTTAGAAAAACCCGGTTGAACCGGTTAAACCAAATAAATATACATGAAAAAGAACCATTTGCATAATAAACTTTGTTGATTTTTTTCAAATCTATTTAGTGTTTTTAAATAAAAACATATGGTAATATTATAAAAATTTTTGATGTGTTTGTATTCATCTAAAACTATATTTTGTTTCAGTATTATACTTTATTTTCTTTTTGACATATATGGACTGATGTAAAACACTAAAACTTATGGTTATATGTTATTTTAATTTATTTGGATTGATCTATAATTTATTTTTATATGTATTTTTAATGTTTGAACTTGTAAACATCAAACTCATGATTTATATATGTATGTATGTATAGAAAAATTAGAAAAAATATGGAAATTATAGAAACCGGTTAACCGACGGTCGAACCAGGAATCAATCACCATATCGGTTCAATTAAAAAACCAGTTTTTAAAACATTGGACCCATGTATTACATGAGTTAATTTAAAAAAATAAATAAATATGAAGGTCTAAATAATTGAGAACTTTGAATTTATAAGAAAATAAAAAAAATAATGAATTATTAAAATTGAAATGTTTTTTATCTTTTAAATTTAAATAAATAATTTAAATAAATAAACAAAAGAAACCAATAAACTTTGATTTAAAAATTTTGAAATTAGAAGATAAACTCATTAATGAAATTGATATCTATTTATTACTATATTTATTGCAGTTATTACATTATATGAAATTTAATAAAATAGAAAAACTAATAAAATGACATGTGAGAAAAAAATTAATTCAAAATTATCACAATTTGACATTTGTCAAAATGAAGAAGAGCATGTCATGTGGTAAAAAAATCTTTATTTATTAAAAATGATAAGTCCCAAACAAAAAGAAGAAGGGTATTTTAGTAATTTGGCATATATTATGTTGGTTATTAAGTCTCTCTCTCTTATTATTATTATTATTATTATTATTATTATTATTATTATTATTATTATTATTTTAACAACCGGTAAGTAGTTAAAAGTTAAATTCATCAAACTAGTTAATACATCAAGTTGATTAGAACCTGAAAAGATGTTTATCAAACGGGGCCTAAGGTCCCGTTTGATACGCATCCTTCCAGGTCCAAATAGATATTTCTGGCTGAATGTATCGGAAAGACTGTTTGATTTGCACAAAAGAAAGTGTCTTTCCCGGTAAGATATGTCTTTCCCAGAAAGCCCCAAAATCATATATTTCTGGCTGAATGGGCTGGAAAGACAATTATACACTAAACCCCGCATCTTTCTTTATTTATTGGATTATTAATTTTTTTAAATAAATTTTTAAAATTTTTTTTATTGAATTATTACTTTTTTTCATCATTCAACACAATCAATCAAATGTACAATCAAACAACATGGTTTCTTTCCCAGTCAGAAAACTTTCCTAGACAGCACTTTACCGGACAACACTTTCCCAGACAGAAACTATCAAACGGAACCTAAGTGGATTAGGACCTCCGTTAAATTGAATCCTCTTAAATCTGTCTCATCTCTTCCAAAGCTTAATAACATGGTGTCGGTGTATGGTTGATCCGTTCTTCATCTCATTTCATTCATCTTCTTCATGTAATCCTCACCATATCCGAGTCTGATTCAAATGATTCCATCTCTCAATGTTTAGGGTCCTATCTCATTGTATGTTATGATAATCCAAGCTCTGTGTTTTTTTCTAATGTCTTTAACAACGTCAGATTTACTTCATGGAAATGATCAATGATGATTTCTATATCTGCTAAAAACAAGCTTGAATTCGTTGATGGCACAATCATTCTGCCATATTCATGTCTTCTTCTTATTCCAATTGGTAACAAGCTAATCCAATAATGATAAGCTGAACCTTGAACACTTTAACCAAGATAATCATTGATAATGTTCTTTTCCTTCAAACCGCACATGAAATTTAAACATAGTCAAATTAGAGATACAAACAATCTGACGGTGCTTTAATTTATCAAATACAACAAAAATGGTATTCTCTATCTCAAGGATAGGATGATTTTTTTTTCGTATTTCACCAAACTAACTTGAATTTGGGACGAATTACACATGGTTCAAGCCTTCAAGGTATTCCTTCATGTTCATGTGGTGTTGTAGTGGGAATCCACAAGTATTTTGAAGACTCGTGTTTAATTCAACTTTTAATAGAATTAGATGTTTCCTATAAAATCATTCGAGGACAATTTTTCATGATTAAACCATGGACAAGTATTTCCACTACTTATTATTTAATTCTTCAATAAAAATACAAACATGCTATAACACTGATTATCAACACATAACACTGATGCTATTGCCAGATATGCTCTGGTAAAACTTTTAATTCTTCTAAGAAGCCTTTAACATGCAATCACTATAAAAATTCCGGACCGGTGGTTGTCGAGGCCAACAAATAAATAATCCTAAAAATTGCACAATAGTTAGTGTATAATGGTAAGGGTATCAAATCAACAAAGATTGGTTCAAATTAGGACTCTATAAATTCTCTTTGTAAAAACACTCGTAGAATGAAAATAAAAATAAAAATAAAAATAAAAATGAGAATTTTATCTTTTGGTTGCTTTAAAGAAACAAAGTTATACTAAAACTTGGAAATTGCAAGTAAAGAAGAAAAGTTTGATTTAAATCAATGGGGGAGAGATCAAATCAATAGGAGACAGATAGTTGACATTGGTACAATTGTTACTGTGCAAGATTTTTGATTTAATTTAATTTGGTTACAGTGACTTAAAAACTAAGTAACCCAGGCTTTTCTTAATTGGTACAATGGCTAGAGAAGCTTATAATATATTTTTTTTAGTTAAAGTCATACATCAATCAAACATATAATTGATGAAAATCAACTAGCATTAAGATTTAAAAACCAAGTCCAAAAGGAAATCAATATGCTTTCATTACCATTATGTAGGAATTAATTTCATGATTGAAATGAAATGAAAACAAACACATAAACCATTTGTTGTTTGCTAACAACACTTACTATATTAGAACATAAGTTATACTAAAGATAGGTTAGGTGTAGCTCACTTACAACGAGTTTTTCTCAAAACCGGGCTCCGCTGGAGCAGCGTTCCCAAGCCGAAAGACACTTCTTTTCGGAGCCGTCAAGTGCTCCGGGGCTTCCGCCTCGTGCTAGGGAGTTTTCCTATGCTCTAGGGGGGGGGGTGGAGAAAGAAGTGGGGAAAGGTGTGAGGAAATGGCAATGCCCGACACCTCTATTTATAGGCTTCCTAGAGTGTCACCACCTCATGGTACCTCTCACCAC